ATTCCCCCCACCCCTATGCTTTTTCCTTTCTCTACCTCCAGTATAAGATGTACCGTCCCTAGGGAGGCTAATTTCTAAGAAGTGGTTTCCCCTCCAATTTTTCCCACTTCTAAGCCGGGACCAGTGCCCGCTCGTGCACGTATGGGTATGCATAAGCAATAGAGGGAGCTTACCTAGAAAAACTGGTAGGCAAACTGGTAGGCACCATCTCTGGGGATTTCTGCTGCCAGGTAAGATTTGGCTTTTCTTCTCTTTGTTGAGTCACCTTTTAGAGAAGATGTCCTTTAGCTGGGTTCATGGGTAAACAGTCTCTGTACCGGGCTCCCACGTCCACCTATTCTAGCAAATGCAGCTCCTATGCCTGCGGGCTGACACACTATAAAGGCATGTCTAAGGAGGCTTACTGCAAAGCGGAGGAGTTTCCAGTGGGGGGAAGGACTTTTTTCGTTGCCTGGAGTTTGAATGAGTGGAGGGGCACTTTGGGAACTGCTTGGAGGTGTCTTAGCCCACCGCATGTATGCTGAGGAACGGGCTCATCCTTGCACCTGACCGTCGGGCACAGCCCCACATGTCAGCCCTTGGGACTGCCACCCGAGCTGTGTCACAGGTGAGTTATCAGGCATGCTTGTGGTGGGATAGAAAGCAGAGCCGCCAGAGAGAGCTCCCACACCCCAGGCAGCGGGAGCCAGGAATGCAAGGAGGGGTTGGAGCCCCAGCTGTGAGTCCCGGTGACAGGCAGGGAGAAGGTGCGAGCGTGGCCAGCAGCTGTCCTTCGGGCAGGGTGTCACCCATCTGGACTTACTCAGTTGTCCTATGTGTGATGAAGTTTGTAAGGATCTCTTTGCTTCAGGGCACCCACTTCAGTGTCTTTCCTTCCTGACAGAATGACTGCTGATGAAATTCTACCCACTATTTATTTCAGCACTCCCACAAATGGCAACTTTACTGTGGAACTTAGAATCATAGAAGGTTTGGGTTGGAAGGGACCTCAAAGATCACCTAGTTCCAACCCCCCTGCCATGGGCAGGGACACCCTCAACTAGACCACGTTGCCCAAAGCCCCATCCAACCTGGCCTTGAACACTTCCAGGGATCAGCCCTCCACAACCTCTCTGGGCAACCTGTTCCAGTGCCTCATCACCCTCATAGTGAAGAATTTTTTCCTAATATCTAATCTAAATCTACTCTCCTTCAGCTTAAGGCCATTACCCCTTGTCCTGTCACTGTAAACAGTCCCTCTCCAGCTTTCTCGATTTGATTCTTCCTAAGTGTGGTGGTAAACTACCATGTTCTTCCCTCTTTTAGCTTCACAGAGACTAAAAGGTCTCTGGGTTTGATGGCTTCTGCTTTAGTCCCGTCCAAGACAACCTCTCTTCTGTGCATCTGTTTTGCGGATGATAGTACAGAATACATTAACAGAATGAGACTGTTTTCACTTATATACCTACTCTTCCTTGACTATCATGGAGTAGAGCAGCTTTTTTAGGACAGAAAACTGCCTTACACAGTGCTTTCTTCAATGACTTGCTTGCTTAATCTCTGGTAAGAGTTATAAAAATGATTTAGAAGAACTAATCCATGAAAACTCCATTGATTAAATGTCTTCAGAGATCCTTGAAGATTTCAGAGTGCTCTGCAAGCTTCTGAAGATGATACCTGTAATTGGCAAATACTGCTTAGACGGTATTTGGTTGAAGGAAGAGAAAATGCATTGTCTATGCATACACATTTAACTGTTTACGCTTTGGTACACTTGGTTTTGTTCTCCCCATATGGCTATTTGCTTATGTAAAAGCTGAGTACCTTTACTGCCAGAAAACCTGCATTTTTGAAGAATATGTGCAGGTTTAATAATAAAACCAATGACTATATTTTTATCATTGCAAGTATTATGTGGTAAATATACATACTTAAAACAACAAGCAAATCTAAATCTTGTGCCAAGGTAATTGTTGTCTTATTTTTAAAGTGTTAGTGAATAGAGAGAAGGCACTTTTGCCATGTAATAATTTCCTTTCAGTTAGGAGATGGTCTTCCAATTGATCTAGCTTTAAGCAATTTGTGTGTGTGTGTGTGTGCATATGCATCCAAGCATAGACACTTCTGTAGTCATATATGTGTTAAATCACGTAAAGAATGCATTATTTTATGCATCTCAATTATGTGCACACACACGTGCACACATGCGCATATATATACAGGGAGAAATGAAAGGAGGCTGCTAGATACACAAGGCTTGGATTTAGCACTGCAACCATGAGAGGGTTGAATTTGGCTCAGAGTGTTTCAGTGGTGATGAGGTGACTGCATTTATGTCATCTTTTTAAAGCACAAGATAGAAAATAGAGGACAAACCCGAACTTTCTTAAAGAAGCAGAGTGCCGCAGACTGATTCTTTCCTGTTGTCAACCAAACTGGTCCAGTTACCTGACCTCTGTGAAATGTGCCACTACTCAGGATTACGTTTTGCTGGCACTTCTGCCACGTCTGGGAAGGAAGAGCTGACCCAGGCTATCTGTCCTCACATTTGCACTGGAGAATTACGGTATCCAAGACAGGACCAAAACCCAAGGCTGTCCCTATACCCAAGTCAGTAACAGACCAGCCTTAGCAGCCGGGTATCTGCTTCGATAAAAACAGCTATCTCTGACCTTCCAGTGCTGTTGGCAGCGTATTAAAAATACTCCCAGTATAATAACAATGGCACTAAAAAGTATTTGAATGGCATAGGGCAAGTTTGTGGTTAGAATGAAACGCATTTGTGCTGGTTGCGCAGAAGAGGAAAGATTAAAGGTAATGTTGCGGTGGGCTGTGGTACCACTGGGCACGCTGCTTTGCTCTCTGTCTTGTGTTGAGTTTCCCTCAGAGGCATTGTGAGGGCAACTGAACTGATGCTATGAGAGAGATGGTTTTAGGTTGCTCTGGGCCAGAAAACTACTGACCTCCTTAGAGCTGTGCCATAGGAACAACTGGGGATGTATTAAAGCCTGTAAAACTTGTACGGCTGTCAGTCCTTCCTAGTATGCTTCCATTTGACATCCAAGGTCAGATAATAAATGGTAATAATTTTTATAATGTAATAATTTGTTATACTGCCAAGCATAAATTTTGTTTAAGTACCTCTGTCCATTTGAGAATTGTACCAACTCAGAGTGGCATGAACTTATATGCTGTTGTTAAGCATCGGTCATATTCTACCCCCACACCTTCACGACATTTCAATTTTTGTTTTGGTCAACCATGCATCATGCGTATGGGGTGCAGTGGAGAAGACTGTGTATGCCTCCTGCTCCTCTGCTGGACCTTCGCTGGGTGAATGCTGCCTTGCTCAGAGATAAGGATAATTCACTTAGCTGTGTTTCAGATGTTTTTCTTTTTCAATTTTTTTTTCATTCTGAGATTGCTGTAGTAGTAATATGCAAGGCATTTCAAATCTTTAGCTAAAGGCTATTTGATGTGCTTACATGGAAACATACATTATGTGAGTGTCATGCCCACGCTCACAAGTTGGAATGAATTTATTATACTCACGTGAGTGCTGTGAGGTACACGCTGTTATTCCCTGTTCTACAAGTTCGGAAGTGGGGCATAGAGAGACAACGTGACTTTTCCCAAGGTCGCAAGAATGTCAGAAGCAGAGCAGGAATAGGTTATAAGTTTTCTGCAGCAAGCACAAACTATTCTTATTTTGCTATTGTTATTTAAAAAAAAAAAAATCTGTATGCTCATTAGTGCTGACAAGGAAACACATTACCATCCTTGTTAGGGCAGTGTCAAATGCAAATATTTCTCTCATATGTATTAAGTAGCTCTTATTTCACCTAATGTGATGGAGAGATCTTAGTGGAAATGTTGGTATCACAGCCACAGTCTTGTTGCCTTGTCTGTGTATGAACAGTGCCTAGGGAAGCATTTGCATGAGCAAATCTTAGCAGTTAGATATTCTTTTGTTATTTTCACTTACATTTGTGGAAGCACAAGTACCTACTGCACAGATCTTCGGGAAGCCATGAAAACACATGGATGTACATGTATATATACATATATATAAAACCATATATATTTTTGTACTTATGTAAGGTCTGTGTGTTTAGACAAACATAAAAGAATAGGAGCGTCTCCTATTTGTATTTTCAGCCAGAAATTCTATAAAACATAGTGCTGCTTAAAAGTGAACACAGAAACTGATTTCATAAATATTTTCAGATCTGATTTAGAGATTGAAATTAAGAACAAAGTACTGCAGTATGTAAGTAGAGATTTAAGAATTACTGATATCTTTTGTTCTCAAAGTGCAGTATTTAGGTTTTCTTTACTTCTTTGTATTTACCTGCAAAGAAGCAAATTCACATTTTTCCTGTAACAATTGACCACTGAGCCCTAAGGCTCTATCTAAAATGGTAAAGGGAACTAAACCTCTTTATTCTTGTGTAACTCATTAGCTAACATCAGACGATTAGAGCTAATGTTTCAATCTAAAACAATTCAAGTCCCTCATTAACAGGGCTAGATTTCCTTTGATCTAATTACTTGATGTCCCAGATATATGGGAAATTCAGAGATCAGCTCTGAGAAATCTCTGCAGACATGGTCACGTCTAGAAATGAGGACTTACATATAGGCTTCAGAACTGTTGTTTAAATTGTTAACAAGCCTCATTTAGTCTCCCGGTAATGCTTGGTCAAATGTTCAATGAAATCCCATTGATGTTAGCTAGAGAATGAAGCTGATGACTGTTTGCTGAGTATGATTTAATCTTCATTATTATGGGCAAGTGGATTGCAAATTTCCATAATTAAACATCCAGTGCACTGGTCAGATTCTGTTGTAAAGTTCTATAATTACTGTTGTAG